GAGAGTACCCTTAGTTCCTTAACTATGCTAGTGATTAATTATATTTGCTAGTTGGTCAATGAACAGCCAACACCAAGCCAAATCAAACCTACAAATACACTAAAAGGTATACCTCACTTCTCGTTATATATATATATATATATATATATATATATATATATATATATATATATATATATATATATATATATATATATATATATATATATATATATATATATATGTCGTACCTAGTAGCCAGAATGCCCTTCTCGGCCTACTATGCAAGGCCCGATTTGCCTAATAGGATGAGTGATTTTCTTTACTTTCAATCAATTGTTTCCTATTGGTTTATTTTAAATATTATTATTATATTATATTAGGAACATAAATTATGTATTTAGTTATGTTAGTTTAGGTTAGGTTAAGGTAGGTTAGGTTAGGTTAGGTTAGGTAGGGTTGGTTAGGTTAGGTTAGGTTAGGTTAGGTTAGGTAGGGTTGGTTAGGTTAGGTTAGGTTAGGTTAGGTTAGGTAGGGTTGGTTAGGTTCGCTCATATATCTACGTTAGTTTTAACTAAAATTTAAAATAAGTTATCTCATACATAATGAAATGAATAGCTTTATCATTTCATAAGAAAAAAATGAGAAAAATATTATAAAAAATATAATATTTTATATAATTATATATAATTATGAAATATATAATTTTTTATTTTATAAAAAATAAACACTGATATATATATATATATATATATATATATATATATATATATATATATATATATATATATATATATATATATATATATATATATATATATATACATGCTGGTTGGACAGTAAACTTAATAACCTTCCGGGTTGTTCATAGGTCTTAAGAACAACACTTTCAGCATACCAAAGGAGAAATATCTGCTCGATAACTGTTTAACGTGTAATATTTCTACACATATATCGTTCGGGTTTCCTAACTGTTTTCCGTTGTTCAGAAAAGCCAATAACAACATTTTAAGGTTAATGGTCGTTCTCGGGTGTTAATCGACTTTTATCGAGTCTGGAACTTAAACAAAAATATATAACAGAGTAAATACGTTTTAAAATGTTTAATGAAAGATTATGGTTAAAACGTGTCAGGATATTTTGTATATATATATATATATATATATATATATATATATATATATATATATATATATATATATATATATATATATATATATATATATACCACATGGTACATGTTCGTATACACAATATGTATATTGTCACATAATAATTCTCATTATTCGGGTTCTGGCTTCTCCCAAGCAGTCATCGATAACTCTACATCCACTTAGCAGTTTCATATAAATGTTTCATGTGTATATATGTTGTAGAATTAAACTGTATGATATGTGACATGACATTGATCGTCATACGTTTTGAGGCGTTCATACACCAACCCTCGAACTGACTCCATGTTGAACCATTGACAGGATAGTTTAGCCATTACGGCACCCGCCCTACAAGGAGGCAGGCTAGGTGAGGTTCGGCAGGAGTCACTCAGGTACTCGAATTGGGTAACATCTAACTCTTTGCTACTCGCCATGGCAGCTCACTCAAGAGTCGCCACTGTAACTCACTCAAGAGTTGTGTGGTGCTAGGTATCGTAGCTCTTAGCACTGTAATTGTATATATTTTGCGGTTGTCAATATCCTGGTTAGTGAGTTGAAATTAGTGTTTATGCTTTTATTTCATTTTTTGACTTTTAAATTCCGTGTACAAAGACAGTTCTATTGCAGGTGTTAAAGTAACTTTTATCTTGTTGCATTAAATTTAATTTTTGTTTTTAAACTTGGTTTTGACTGTTCTTCTTTTTCCATGTATTCACATTGAAGTTCGAATGAGAATTTTTGTTTATGCTATAATCGTTTATGTTTGTTTTTTTTGTTATGGTATAATTTGTGAGGTATAATCGCAGTACCTCGCTTAACGTAGCAATATGTATAACACATGGTGTATGTTTGTATCAATAATATGTATAATGTATTCCACATGATGTGATGTTTGTATCAAGATAAAGTGTATCACATAGTGTGTATTGACAGAAGATATGCTACAAAGAGTATGTTTGTCTTAACTGAAGATATGCAACATGGTGTATTCTCGTGGTATAACGAGGTGCGTTCGTATTACTAATGTGTATATCACATGTTGTATATCCGTAACAACAACATGCATGCAGTAATGTGTATGCTCGTATAATCGAAAGGTGTATTGACTATTTGTGCCTGCAGGATCGAGTTGTTAGCTCTTGGACCCCGCCTTTCTAAGCATCGGTTGTCTAATGGTCTTACTCCCTACTTATTGTCCTCTATCATATCCATTCCATATATTTCCATATATAACACCCCTTCCCCCCAGGAAGCAGCTGTCTAACTCCCAGGTACCGATTTACTGCTAGGTGGACAGAGGCATCACTTGCAAGAAACTTTGTCGATCTATTTCTGTGCTTCGAATTGTATAATCGTATAGCTCAAGGTATGCTGCTAGGTGTATATTAGTATATGCTATAATGTATATGCTTGTATAAACACAAGGTAGGCTCCTAGGAGTATGCGGGATGATGAAAGTGACAAGTATTGTATCATGTTGAAGGACTTAATGAAAAGCTGTACCTACTATGCACCACGAGTGTTGCCGGATGATGGAAGGTCATGAAACCCACGTGGAAGCATGTGGGTTTCAGGACCCACTTATCGAAGATACAGTTGTTAGTACTAGATAGCCAAATGGGGTGATCCTTGGCTGCCCAGGTTCGAATCCTTAAGAGGTAAAAGAGTTTATAGTGATTTATAACTTGGAGGCCATTCAAACTTGATCTCAAAAGTACTGTGTATGAAGCATTGGGAACAGAAAAAGCCTCTGACATGCCTAAGACTTAATGCCGTTATAATTAAAATCATAATGCTCATTACACAGAGATAATATATAAATATTACTAATTGTAAAGTAAATAATAAAGAAAATACATCTACTTTAAGCAAAACAAATTATTATAGCATGACAAAGTAAAACAGCACGATAGACAAAACAATGCACTTTGATAGACAAAGTAATGGCACGTGATAGACAAACTTATCTATATTAGAGAATGTCTGTCTGTCTGTTCGTCCAAGATTGGAAGCCTGACGCTATGGGGTAGCCTCACCCAACTTTTACAGGGAAACTATTCTGGGGTACGGGACGAACATAGGCAAGTTTGGGTCGCCAGAATTCAAGAGGGAACAGAGCGCCACAGTTACATACTGATCCTCACAACAGAGTTTGGCACTACCCACCATTCACCAGTCATGCCTGGCTACTTATATAAAAAAATAACTTATAGTAATATAAAACACTATGCGCTGATCTCGGAAAAATTATTCGAAAATGTATAATCATTATATATTGCCCGTAGTAGTGTAAAACAGACCATCCTCCCACAGCTACTAAGGTTTTCTCAAGACCCGGGTCTTTTCTTAAAACCAATGGAACTATTATACATGTTAGTATTTCCCACCAGCAGGCTCCTCCTACTGGGTGACCCCCACGCACGCCAGAGGTAAACTTATTACAGTATTGTTATAAAGTAAAGAGAGAGTCAGCAAACTGACAGAGACTGGCAGAAACAGAATCAATGAGCCAGAGACAGAAAGTCAGGCATACAGCAACAGACAGAAATAGACCTTCAGGGAGATCGGGTTAAACAGGACACAAAGAGGGACAGAAAGACGGAACAACACAGACAGGCAGACAGACGCAGAGAAAGAGGCAGACACAGAGACAGATACAGAAAGAAACAGAGATAGGAAGAGACGGAAGGAGGAGGTGGAAAAGGGGATGTTTGATAAGAGCGAAGGAGGGAGAGATGGACAGGTTTGAGAGAGAAAGAGAGGGAAGAAGAGGTGAGAGAAGGGCAGGATTGGAAGATATAAGGAAAACAATGATAAGAAATGAGGAATATTGAGAGAGAGACCCGGGCGCTGCCGGCTCTCCCCTCCCACATTGCTACACAAAACAAAAACTTCCTAGAACTTGGTGACAAACAGCCTAATAAACTCTAAAACAAATTAGCATAACTGAGACTTAAGATGCTTAAAAAACATTTTTTTAAAATATTAAAGCTCGCGAAATGGTCTCTGAAGAAATGATTAAACACCACATTTGTCATATGGATATTTATGTCATTGTACACTAGTTGTGTTAGTTATTCTTAGCTGGGATACATTTTTAACATACGGTGTTAGGTATTCTTAGCTGGGATACATTTTTAACATACGGTGTTAGGTATTCTTAGCTGGGATACATTTTTAACATACGGTGTTAGTTATTCTTAGCTGGGATACATTTTTAACATGTGGTGTTAGTTATTCTTAGCTGGGATACATTTTTAACGTGTGGTGTTAGTTATTCTTAGCTGGGATACATTTTTAACATGTGGTGTTAGTTATTCTTAGCTGGGATACATTTTTAACATGTGGTGTTAGTTATTCTTAGCTGGGATACATTTTTAACATACGGTGTTAGTTATTCTTAGCTGGGATACATTTTTAACATACGGTGTTAGTTATTCTTAGCTGGGATACATTTTTAACATACGGTGTTAGTTATTCTTAGCTGGGATACATTTTTAACATGTGGTGTTAGTTATTCTTAGCTGGGATACATTTTTAACGTGTGGTGTTAGTTATTCTTAGCTGGGATACATTTTTAACATACGGTGTTAGTTATTCTTAGCTGGGATACATTTTTAACGTGTGGTGTTAGGTATTCTTAGCTGGGATACATTTTTAACATACGGTGTTAGGTATTCTTAGCTGGGATACATTTTTAACATCTTTTTTTTTAGCTGGGATACATTTTTAACATCTTTTTTTTTAGCTGGGATACTCTATTTTTGATGTTTGTTCATCTTTATTCACTTTTTTAATATATGTGTTTTATCTCCTTCATAGCTAGAATGCTCTTTTTAAATGTGATTTTCGTGAATTATAAAACAGATATTAATTTCAGCATCAAGTTTACCCAGCTTCCACAGGGACCAACCGGTATTTTCCAGGATCAATGGGGCCTCGTTCGAGGCTTCGACAGGGCTAAGGATGTAATAACCGACTGTGGACAGGTAGATGGAGGTGTATAGGGGGGGAGGCGAAGCTTCGTGCGGGTAATGCTCTCTAATGAACACGGCGGTAAACAAAATTTGCTTGAATGCGTCTCTATTGCTTTTTCTTCGCTAAGTCATGGGGACCTCGACCAGGGGGTTCATCAAGCATCAACACACACACACACACACATCTTACGAAACATGTACATCATTTCTTAATGATGACGGGTTTATTTGTATTTATTAGAAAGTTTTTTTAGCTTTGAAGCCTTTCATAGCGACCTTCCATAGCATCTTTCCATAGCAACCTTCCATAGCAACCTTCCATAGTAATCTTCCATAGCAACCTTCCATAGCAACCTTCCATAGCAACCTTCCATAGCAACCTTCCATAGCAACCTTACATAGCAACCTTCCATAGCAACCTTCCATAGCAACCTTCCATAGCAATCTTCCATAGCGACCTTCCATAGCGACCTTCCATAGCAACCTTCCATAGTAACCTTCCATAGCGACCTTCCATAGCAACCTTCCATAGTAACCTTCCATAGCGACCTTCCATAGCAACCTTCCATAGTAACCTTCCATAGCGACCTTCCATAGCGACCTTCCATAGCAACCTTCCATAGCAACCTTCCATATCAACCTTCCATAGCAACCTTCCATAGCAACCTTCCATAGCAACCTTCCATAGCAACCTTCCATAGCAACCTTCCATAGCAACCTTACATAGCAACCTTCCATAGCAACCTTACATAGCAACCTTCCATAGCAACCTTCCATAGCAACCTTCCATAGCAACCTTCCATAGCAACATTCCATAGCAACCTTCCACAGCAACCTTCCATAGCAACCTTCCATAGCAACCTTCCATAGCAACCTTCCATAGCAACATTCCATAGCAACCTTCCATAGCAACCTTCCATAGCATCTTTCCATAGCAACCTTCCATAGCAACCTTCCATAGCAACCTTCCATAGCATCTTTCCATAGCAACCTTCCATAGCAACCTTCCATAGCAACCTTCCAAAGTAACCTTCCATAGCAACCTTCCATAGCAACCTTCCATAGCAACCTTCCATAGCAACCTTCCATAGCAACATTCCATAGCAACCTTCCATAGCATCTTTCCATAGCAACCTTCCATAGCAACCTTACATAGCAACCTTCCATAGTAACCTTCCATAGCAACCTTCCATAGCAACCTTCCATAGCAACCTTCCATAGCAACCTTACATAGCAACCTTCCATAGTAATCTTCCATAGCAACCTTCCATAGCAACCTTCCATAGCAACCTTCCATAGCAACCTTCCATAGCAACCTTCCATAGCAACCTTACATAGCAACCTTCCATAGTAATCTTCCATATCGACAAGCATCGTCAATAGAATCTCGGGATGGATAAAAGGACCTGGAACTGGGATAGGACTGAGGGAAGGATCGGTGTCCTACAACGGGAACCTTCGGGGATCGAACCCCGACCCGCATGCGAGGCCAGCGCTCTACCGTTCTGCCCAACCGGTTGGGTTCAAAACATTGACATATGTATGTTTGTTACAATTAATATTTATCACAGCTTAGACTACTCGACACAGGTAATAGGGACGAGATTGTTGAACAGTCGTTGTGCTTACTGCATTCTGAATAGTTTGATTGATCTGTTGAACACAGTTCCTTCACACCAGTGCTCACATCCCAGCTCCTTGTCTTCATATCCCAGCTCCTTGTCCTCAAATCCCAGCTCCTTGTCCAGATATCTCAGCTCCTTGTCCAGATATCCCAGCTCCTTGTCTTCATACCCCAGCTCCTTGTTTAGATATCCCAGCTCCTTGTCCTCATACCCCAGCTCCTTGTCCAGATATCCCAGCTCCTTGTCCTCATACCCCAGCTCCTTGTCCTCATACCCCAGCTCCTTGTCCTCATACCCCAGCTCCTTGTCCTCATACCCCAGCTCCTTGTCCTCATATCCCAGCTCCTTGTCCTCAAATCCCAGCTCCTTGTCCTCATATCCCAGCTCCTTGTCCTCAAATCCCAGCTCCTTGTCCTCATATTCTAGTTCCTTGTCCTCACATCCCATCTCCTTGTCCTCATATCCCAGGTCCTTGTCCTCATATCCCAGCTCCTTGTCCTCATACCCCAGCTCATTGTCCTCATATCCCAGCTCCTTGTCCTCATATCCCAGCTCCTTGTTCTCATACCCCAGCTCCTTGTCCTCATACCCCAGCTCCTTGTCCTCATATCCTACCCCACTGGCCTCACATCCAGTGTGTAGGATATACAGTGGATATAAGTAGGATATAAGTCGCCTCACCAGAAGCGTATAATATGAAATGGTTTTACCTCACTTGAAGCGTACGAACTTATTCATTCGATAAAAGCTATTGAGATCCTATGTTCCATTAATTCAAGTTACGTCAAAATTATTATGTCTTATATTTTACTAAAACACTACAATGTTAACGTAATAATTAATAACGAATTAACCCTTAGGTTTATACCGAAAGGTAGATATCTAATGGAAGATACCGATAGGTAGATATTTAGTGATAAATATCTAAAGGTAGATACTTAAGAGTAGATTATCTGAGAACAGATGCTTAGGGGCAGATACCTAATGGCTGGTATCTGAGGGGTACAGGGCGATATTTTAGGATAGATACCTTAATTCCAATACTTAAACAGAGATTCCAAAAGTTAGATACCTAAAGAGAGATACCAAACGTTTGATATCTTAAGATATATGCCTAAAGAGAGAGATACCGAAAGAGAGATGCCTAAAGAGAGATACCTAGAGAGAGATATTTAACGATATATATATACCTAAAGAGGACAGAGACCCAAACGCTAGATATCTCATGATATACCAAAAGAAAGATCCTAAAGACCGAGATAACCGAGGAGAGATACCCAATGCTAGATACCTAAAGATATATGCGTAACGATAAATACCTAAAAAGAGAGAAATACCAAAAGTTAGATATCAAAATGACATCACATGCTATCATCTTACCTCTAGAGAACTGCTAGTGGAAGATAACGAATATGGCTTGTGTTTTCTGCTGTTCGAACTCGTATGAAACAAAATCTGAGCCCACTTAAAAGACGCAAGGGCTCACGATGCTCTCTATATTGGCCACACAGAGAACACATGTTCTCACAATGCTCTCTATATTGGCCACACAGAGAACACATGTTCTCACAATGCTCTCTATATTTGTCCACACAGAGAACACATGTTCTCACAATGCTCTCTATATTTGTCCACACAGAGAACACATGTTCTCACAATGTTCTCTATATTGTCCACACAGAGAACACATGTTCTCACAATGCTCTCTATATTGGCCACACAGAGAACACATGTTCTCACAATGCTCTCTATATTTGTCCACACAGAGAACACATGTTCCCGCTGTCCACTTTCGACATGTCAACTTAAAGAGAGAGCCGAATTACATGTTTTTTTTTACCTTGTTTAACTTTTATTATCCCAGCTTGGAGGGGACAGCTTGCCCTGGTATTTGTTTTTGGTAACTTCCAGCTTAAAGGGGGATGAGTTACGTGGTATCCCCAGCTCAGAGGTGGCAACGCTGCCTGGTATCCCCAGCTAAGAGGTGGCCACGGTGCCTGGTATCCCCAGCTCAGAGGTGGCCACGGTGTCTGGTATCCCCAGCTCAGAGGTGGCCACGGTGCCTGGTATCCCCAGCTCAGAGGTAGCAACGGTGCCTAGTATCCCCAGCTCAGAGGTAGCAACGGTGCCTGGTATCCCCAGCTCAGAGGTGGCCACGGTGCCTGGTATCCCCAGCTCAGAGGTGGCCACGCTGCCTGGTATCCCCAGCTCAGAGGTGGCCACGGTGCCTGGTATCCCCAGCTCAGAGGTGGCAACGCTGCCTGGTATCCCCAGCTCAGAGGCGGCAACGGTGCCTGGTATCCCCAGCTCAGAGGCGGCAACGGTGCCTGGTATCCCCAGCTCAGAGGCGGCAACGGTGCCTGGTATCCCCAGCTTAAAGATGACTGTTTCACGGCTCCAGTATGAGACCAGTCCACCAGGACCCCTGAAGGTGAGTCACTGGCCCCACGTGCTCTCGTTATCTTGAGAGGTTATCTTGAGATGATTTTTGGGCTTTAGTGTCCCCACGGCCCGGTCTTCAACCAGGCCTCCACCCCCAGGAAGCAGCCCGTGACAGCTGACTAACACCCAGGTACCTATTTTACTGCTAGGTAACAGGGGCATGGGGTGAAAGAAACTCTGCCCATTGTTTCTCTCCGGCGCCTGGGATCGAACCCAGGACCACAGGATCACAAGTCCAGTGTGCTGTCCGCTCGGCCGACCGGCTCCCTATCAAAACGTCAAAGCTCTCTCGTCAAAATATACGACACAAGAAATAGAAACAGACTGGAAATCTAACACATTTTGCAGGCGATGAGTCAGTATAACGTGGCTGAAGTATGTTGACCAGACCACACACTAGAAAATGAAGGGACGACGACATTTCGGTCCGTCCTGGACCATTCTCAAGTCGATTGTGACTTGAGAATGGTCCAGGACGGACCGAAACGTTGTCGTACCTTCATTTTCTAGTGTGTGGATTGGTGTAACAAATTTTGTTTACGATTTGCATACAAAAACTCGACTCTCACGCACACACAAGCGTATTGGGCGGCTTTAAAATAAAAAATATAGTAACAATAATAGTAATATTTTATTATAAGACCCGATCTCAGTGGCGACACGTTGGATACAGGAATTGTAATATTTTATAAAGTCACTATATACATCGTTTGAGATATTTACCGATTTGTATTGAATTGATCTTGGCATGATTTACCTGGGAGTGGGAGTGAGAGCCGGGCAGGGGTGTACAGGTCCCAGGTGGCCTGCACGCTCAGGCAACGCAAGTTGAGGTTGGTGTAGCAAGCAACCTTTGGCGCTGTTGCTTGGCTGGTTGGCCTTCCCGGCTGTATTTGCTTGGCTGGACTTCCTTGCTGTATTTGTTTGGTTGGCCTTCCCTGATGTATTTGCTTGGCTGACCATCCCTGCTGTATTTGCTTGCCTGGACTTCCCTGCTGTATTTCCTTGCCTGGCCATCCCTGTTGTATTTCCTTGCCTGGCCATCCCTGTTGTATTTGCTTGCCTGGTCTTCCCTGCTGTATTTGCTTGCCTGGTCTTCCCAGCTGTATTTGTTTGCCTGGCCTTCCCTGCTGTTGTTGCAGGGGCTAGAAGCACTGCATCACACTTTTCTACTTTATGTCTGTCATTACATGACGCAGTTTACCAGGCAGAGCTCCAGCTTCTGGACCCCGGCCTTTCCAACTGTCACTCGTCTAATACAATGACACGTTTCGTTTTGATTTTGATAATTTTGGTACATATGGATTTTAGATCAATGACTGGGAGATTATTCTCAATTAGACAATCTTGTATGATGGTTTTACCTGTTTGCTGTTGTTACACTGATGAAGTGTGGTTTGGGGTTACCTATGCCCCCCCTTCCTCCTTCTCTATGTTGGTTTTCTCGTTAATTCACTGATCCCTTCAACATTCTGTTATACTTATCATTATATTTTTATCACCTCATATCCCAACTCCATGTCCTCATATCCGTCCCAAGTGTTCCTCATACTGACTTAGCGGTCTCTCCTCATAATTGTCTAAGCTTGCTTCGCTCTGTAACGTGATGCTTAGGAAAGCAGTCGTTACCTGTTTCTAGATGTTCTCCTGCCCAGGTTAACGTGTTATGTGTTAAGTTTGTTAATCTAACATTTCAGCTTGGTTCAAATGTTAGAATATAGTTTGAAACGTTAGTTATCAGCAGAGAAAACGGCAGAATACTTATAAAATCACGTCAAACTTTTCCTGTTAATAGCTAACACAATTACAGATATAACCATGTAACCTAAGCTTGAAACAATCCAGCTTGAAACAACCCAAGTTAACCAAACCTATTATGCTTTTTAACATCGTGTTTCAAAGAGAAATCAACTTTTTCACCGATCCTATATATATATATATATATATATATATATATATATATATACTCAGGGCATTTCTATAACAAACGTGGCCTAATTTCTATAAATTTTACTATGTTCTATGTCGATATATTTAACACCCAATTAATATGCTTGTTGTAATTTATGAAATTCATCTGCATATACCAGTCGTTCCCCCCCCCTTAACACTCATATTTTTTTTACATAATGATTGTAAATTAACCTTTATTCTAGAGACTGTAAATTGAGCTTCATTCTAGAGACTGTAAATTGAGCTTCATTCTAGAGACTGTAAATTGAGCTTCATTCTAGATACTGTAAATTGAGCTTCATTCTAGAGATTGTAAATTGAGCTTCATTCTAGAGACTGTAAATTGAGCTTCATTCTAGAGATTGTAAATTGAGCTTCATTCTAGAGACTGTAAATTGAGCTTCATTCTAGAGATTGTGAATTGAGCTTCATTCTAGAGACTGTAAATTGAGCTTCATTCTAGAGACTGTAAATTGAGCTTCATTCTAGAGATTGTAAATTGAGCTTCATTCTAGAGATTGTAAATTGAGCTTCATTCTAGAGACTGTAAATTGAGCTTCATTCTAGAGATTGTAAATTGAGCTTCATTCTAGAGATTGTAAATTGAGCTTCATTCTAGAGACTGTAAATTGAGCTTCATTCTAGAGATTGTAAATTGAGCTTCATTCTAGAGATTGTAAATTGAGCTTCATTCTAGAGATTGTAAATTGAGCTTCATTCTAGAGATTGTAAATTGAGCTTCATTCTAGAGATTGTAAATTAACCTTCATTCTAGAGATTGTAAATTGAGCTTCATTCTAGAGACTGTAAATTGAGCTTCATTCTAGAGATTGTAAATTGAGCTTCATTCTAGAGACTAAATTGAGCTTCATTCTAGAGATTGCAAATTGAGCTTTATTCTAGAGACTGTAAATTTAGCTTCATTCTAGAGATTGTAAATTAACCTTCATTCTAGAGATTGTAAATTGAGCTTCATTCTAGAGATTGTAAATTGAGCTTCATTCTAGAGATTGTAAATTGAGCTTCATTCTAGAGATTGGAAATTAACCTTCATTCTAGAGATTGTAAATTGAGCTTCATTCTAGAGACTGTAAATTGAGCTTCATTCTAGAGATTGTAAATTGAGCTTCATTCTAGAGATTGTAAATTAGGCTTCATATAGAGATTGGTATACATACTAATAACCAGGAGAAAGCGCTAAGCCAGTATGACCGTATAGCATCTGTATGGGATACGAGGACAGGATCGGGTATGGGATACGAGGACAGGATAGGGTATGGGATACGAGAACAGGATCGGGTATGGGATACGAGGACAGGATAGGGTATGGGATACGAGGACAAGATAGGGTATGGGATACGAGGACAGGATAGGGTATGGGATACGAGGACAGGATAGGGTATGGGATACGAGGACAGGATAGGTCATGGGATACGTGGACAGGATAGGGTATGGGATACGAGGACAGGATAGGGTATGGGATACGAGGACAGGATAGGGTATGGACTAGTGTAGGAGGACAGTGTAAATTACAAGTTTCCAAACCACTTAAAACATCGGGAATCGAACTCCGACTAGCAAAAAAGTCAGGCTCGGCATGTCTAAATCCTAACAAGGCTAAGATAAATCAAATTTCTAGCTATTATGCAATAAATGATGGTTATCTGGTGTGGTTATCTTGAGATGATTTCGGGGTTTTAGTGTCCCCGCGGCCCGGTCCTCGACCAGGCCTCCACCCCCAGGAAGCAGCCCGTGACAGCTGACTAACTCCCAGGTACCTATTTACTGCTAGGTAACAGGGGCATTCAGGGTGAAAGAAACTTTGCCCATTTGTTTCTGCCTCGTGCGGGAATCGAACCCGCGCCACAGAATTACGAATCCTGCGCGCTATCCACCAGGCTACGAGGCCTCTATAATAATCTATGATCAATAATGTTTTATTCTGAACAAACATTAATTTATTGGTTTAAAATATAAACAATTTTTTTGCAACCGTATCTCTTTTGTTTGAGATTTTGCAATGTCTGCAAGTTGTTCGTTTAGATTCAGCCCCTCAGAACAAAAAGTTCCGAGCAGCACGGGCTATGGTGAGCCCAATGTCCGCAATATCCAGCTGATACCTGGTAAGTCTATCGTCATTATCTAGGCTCAGAATCCTTAATTTATCAGCATTAAATTACATCTGTCAATCTTTCGTTCAATTGAAAAACCTTTTCTAGGAGATATCGTAACAATTTTAAATTATCAGAATTCATTTATCGCTCAAACTGTGTTCAATGCTGTGTTTGAAATTGATGAATTCTGTGTCTTATGCTGTTCAATTGTTTTTCTAATGATCATCTATCCAGTGTGTAATGATGTTCAATACTGTGTGTGTAATGCTGTTCAGTACTTTGTATTCACCTAGTTATATT